ACTTTCTATCAAATTTGGAAATCAGAACAATTTTCTTCATTCCAGAAGAGTGAAGAAATACTTTTTAAACTGAACTTTTCGAAAAAAAAGCCTTAGAAAAGATCAAGATTGCTCGCAACTTCCACATAAAGTTGGAATAATGCATTCAAAAACACTACTGCCATATGGCACGAAAAATATGACGAAAAAACTATGTTTGATTAATGATATCCTATTGAGATTCGCAATCTTTGTATATGATTTCTAGAAATGTTTTTCTTTAGAAAATTCCCGGAGTATTCCCTTTGTATAAATGAATGACTTTCTCATTTCTATGGCAAGTGCTAGATCAATTTTAGATTACTTGATCGTTCTGATAACTACATTTTTCACTCTCACCTATAAAATCTGAAGTATAAACGAATGGTTTATTTCAATCTTAGTTGCCTTACGAATATCATTCGTGTGGACAACAATGCATTCCACAATTTCTCCCTGAAAGCTCACAAAAACAACTTCTCAATATTTTCTACTCATTCTATTTAAAAAAATATTTTAATTCGCCACATCTAAAACTATTTGTCTCAAAAGATTTTCTCTTCAAAAGCCAAATATCTTGGTCATAAAATAAGAGGAAATATGAATTATCTTAAAGACACTGCAGATCGCCGCTGTTTCATTGCTCTATCTTATGAAAATATTATTGTTTCAAATTTTCCTCAGTCTCTAAGCAGTCTATACATTGACTGCTACAATCACATATTTATGCACATATATCATTGTAACAGAAAGAGTCCTCTTCACCGATATTTAGAATTAGAATAAGTCAGTTAAATTACAATTAATATGATATCGATTTTTTGAGTAAATGCTGCATGCCTATTCTCTTATACATACACATTTTTTTGTCGTTGCCTGCTTTCTCTTTATACATCTTCGATGCATATCGCATGATCACTCAATTCATCCAGTTTCGTTTTTCTACTCATATTCGAGACTATGATCCTTGTTTTTTGTTCTCTATTGTTTATTCACATCGGTTATGATATTTCTACTTCTACTTTCTTACATTATTTTCTGTTCGTATCTCATCTCCGTTATCATCGATCGTTCGGGATTGATTTATAAATAGATCTATAAAATGACGTTTCATTTCTTTCATCTAATCAAAACGCCTGCTTGTTGTTATCTGATGGATGTGATGTTGAGAGTAGGGATACCACTTTATATTTATTTTCAATTTAATTTGTGCACAAATTAAATTCAGTAATATAAATTTATTTCAAATATAAATTATTTTCACGTAATTTAAAGTTTATTAAATTATAAATTACACAAAATTATTCTTTTTCCTTCTCACACTTCATCCAAGTCAGACGAACAAAGGAAAAACGCGTAAGAATATGTTGAGATTTTAACGAAAACAAAATCGTAAAAAGTGCACATGTAAACGCTTTCGTAACTCATTAAGAGAGAGTCTCTAGGAGAACAACGAGCATGATGCAGTATACGAGACACTCGACAACATTTTCATTTTTGATTTTTCGCATGCATTCGAAAGGACATTGTCTACAACTACTAAACCTAACATTATAGCTAATTTAGATTTTTCATTGTAAAGTTAGCTTTGATCTACTTCTTACACCATCTGCCTACTATCAACAAAAATAGTAATAAACTATCTCATAAATATCTACTAAGATTATATTAATAGGAGCGAGAAAATTTCTTTATGCAATATACCAAACTATAAAGCATACAAAGATGCAAAAAAATGAGCTACGTCGAATATTGTATATTATTCATTTACTGACCTAGGATGAGTAGAAAAGGTAATAGTTGACCAGTCTATGAAGCCCGACTTTTTGAAGTATATGTGCTGGCATTTATCGAAATCATGAGATTCCAGACTGGATTTTTTATATATTATGTAACTTTTGATTCTCTACAAAATGGTAAAAAGATTATCGGAAAAAACTTGAGAATGGATAAAAACAAGAGGCATATACTGCCAGTTACGAGGTGAACAGCCACTAGGATAATGACCTCAAGGATTTTATAAGGATTTTCATTTATGAAAACTTTCACCTCACACAAATTAGGATTCTATGTTGGATCGAATGGTATAGACAATTCTTTCGAAAAAAGAAAAAAACTTTTGCATCCCCTCTATAGCTGTTAGGAAGGGTATAGGAATTTCGAGAAAATTTCTTTTTCTTGTAATTAAAATATGATCAATCAGGAAGAAGGGAGTAAGAATGCTGATCACAACCATGTACTGGAAGTTCATTATCATCTGTGATTTAGTAGTATAAATTGGGCACCTTAGGACATTTTCTTTCTATAAAACATCTTATGTTCCACTATAAAAGTGGTCTTTATACTAATAAATTACAAATAATAATGGACTTCCAGTACACGGTTATGATCAGCATTCTTATTCCTCTCCTCTTGATTAATCATATTTTAATTACAAGAAAAATATTTCCTCAAAGTTTCCATACCCCTTCTCAGAGTTGTAGAGAAGGTCCAAAAGTTTTTTTTTCCGAAGGAATTGTTTATGCTATTCGATCCAATATAGAGTCCTAATTTGTGTGAGGTGAAAGTTTTCATAAATGAAAATCCTTAAAAAATCCTTGAGGTCATTATTCTAGAAGCATTTTGTAGAGAATCAAAAGTTATATAATATATAAAAAATCCAGTCTGAAATCTCATAATTTCGATAAATGGCAGCACATATACTTCCAAAAGTCGGGCTTCATAGACTGATCAACTATTACTTTTTCTACTCATCCTACAGGGTGTCACAAAACCTTTACGCTCCCTCTACAACTTAAAGTATCAATGATATCACGAATGTATTTTATACCAAATTAAAGTGCGTCAAAAACTAGATTTATTGGTATTAAATAATAAAGGTTATGAAGAAATTTTCAGAAACTTTATACCTTTTTTTGGTGTAGAAAAGTAAAGTACCAGTAATTCAAAAATGGAGTAAAATATTTTTCTTGAATATTTTTACATGGTTCGATAGAGCTCGTCGAGCTGTACAAAACTATATATTTCAAAAATAATTTTGAGTCATCTTTTTGAGATAAAAAATGTAAAAAACTACTTAGGAAACCTCAAAAAATGTTCAAAAACTTCACTTTTTTTTCACATGGAAGAAAAACACTCAATTTTTCAATAAAATTAGCTTTTGTTCATTATTTTTGCTATCTCAAATGTTTCGGAACATACTCATCCAGTGCCGCGTGAAAAACTACATCAAATGAGTATGTGTCGAGACATTTGAGATAGTAAAATAATGAACAAAAGCTAATTTTATTGAAAAATCGAGTGTTTTTCTTCCATGTGAAAAAAATGGAATTTTTGAACATTCTTTGAGGTTTCCTAAGTAGTTTTTTACATTTTTTATCTCAAAAAGATGGCTCAAAATATTTTTGAAATATATAGTTTTGTACAGCTCGACGAGCTCTATCGAACCATGTGGCAATATCCAAGAAAAATATTTTACTCCACTTTTGAATTACTGGTACTTTACTTTTCTACACCAAAAAAAGTATCAAGTTTCTGAAAATTTCTCAATTTCTATATTAAAATGTCTTCATAACCTTTATTATTTAATACCAATAAATCCAGTTTTTGACGCACTTTAATTTGGTATAAAATACATTCATGATATCATTGATACTTTAAGTTCTAGAGAGAGCGTAAAGGTTTTGTGACACCCTGTAAAAGAATTGTTTTAGTCTGGCTCATGACTTTTTGTGTTGATTGATGAAACTTTTCGTCGCTTAGGAGAGTTTCACTCTGAGTCCTCGAATCTATGAAAGATTAACTGTTGCTTTTTTCTTCATATTCAATCTATATGACGTATGACCGAGCACTAACCTTATTTACATCTCACGATACCCTACTGCGTAACTATCTATTCTATCTCTTTCTCCTAAAAACATCATTCTGGAAATTGATGACAACATTATCCCTCCTGTCTATCACAGAAATATCAGAACTTTTTCACGAAAATTATCATCGTTCAATCACGAAACATGATTTCATCTTCGACATCAGAATCACTCAGCAACTCATTCTAACCCAATCCATAAAACAAAAATGAAAAGTAACTTACCTGTTTGGGACTACTATAAAAGCCATGTGTAATTGATGTAATCACTTTTGCAATTAACTGTTGAGCAGAAAAGATGTAATATATATGTCTATTATTATCTACAACGAGACAAAGAAAATATAAAAAAGAACGAATCACTTAAAATCAGGAATAGTACTGAGTTTCGATGAAAGCCATGGCTCAGTCGAACAAAAATCGATCATAAGCTTAGGTGCGAACATTGAATCTTGGCATATACTGCAGATTTCGCATACATCGATTTCTTCTTTATCAATTTTCAATATTTATTTCCTATTTGAAGGGCAACGTTTTCAACTTTTCAAAAAAACAAACAAGATCATCGGTTCAACGTGCCGTGCCCTTTTATATCTAATCTATTTGTAAAAGAGATTACTAAGAAAATTGAGAAACAATAGACGAATAGGTGATAAAGCTAATCTCTGCATCTGTTACTGCAGAGTGGCTAGGTTGTTTAACAAGTATTCAGTAGATACCGTGTTACAATCTCGCAATCAAATATCTAGGAACTATTTATTGACTATTGTTTCTCTCACACCACCATACAATGGTTCTTTTGATTTCAATTTGAATTTGCAAGAAAAACAAAACTTGATTTCAAACTAAAATGCGGGACTTGCTGCTCTTTATAATTATCATGATTACATGTACAGTATATATTTCTTTTCTGTAGAGCGCGGCTATTGGAAGTATTTCGAATTGTCACGATCATATGTATAGTATGTATCCACGCCTCTTTTATAGGATACAGGCTTTGCGACTCTTTAGAATTGTCATGATCATGGCTCTAAAGCGCTGCAAAATCCACACCCTAGAAAAAAACAGGTTTATACAATATATATATATATATATATATATTATGGTGATAATTCTAAAGACCCACAAAGCCCATCATATTCACAAGATCCGCAAAGCCCGTCATATCCACAAGATCCACAAGATCCGCAAGACCCGCAAGATCCACAAGACCCGTAAAACTCACAAGACTCGTAAGACTCGTAAGACACATAAGACCCACAAGACCCGTAAAACCCATAAGACCCGTAAGACACACAAGATCCGTAAGACTCACAAGATCCGTAAGACTCATAAGACCCCTAGAACCCACAAGGCCCGGAAGACCCGCAAGGCTCACAGGACCCACAAGACACGCAAGGCCAACAGCACCCGCAAGACTCACAAGACCCGTAAGAGCCACAGGACCCGTAAGACTCACGAGACCCATAAGACCTACAAGACCTGTAAGACCCACAAGACCCGTAAGACACACAAGATCCGTAAGACACACAAGACCCGTAAGACCTACAAGACTCGTAAGACTACCAAGACCCGTAAGACCCACAAAATCCGTAAGGCCCACAAAACCCGTAAGACCCACCAGACTTGGAAGACTCACAAGGCCCACGAGACCCGTAAGACTCACAAGACCCGTAAGACCCGTAAGACCCGTAAGACTCATAAGACCCGTAGGACCCACAAGGCCCGGAAGACCCGCAAGGCTCACAAGACCTGAAGGACTCACAGGACCCATAAGACACGTAAGGCCAACAAGACCCGCAAGACTCACAAGACACGTAAGGCCAACAAGACCCGCAAGACTCACAAGACCCGTAAGAGCCATAGGACCCGTAAGACTCACGAGACCCATAAGACCTACAAGACCCGTAAGACACACAAGATCCGTAAGACACACAAGACCAGTAAGACCCACAAGACTTGGAAGACTCACAAGGCCCACGAAACCCGTAAGACTCACAAGATCCACAAGACCCGTAAGATCCACAAGACTCGGAAGACTCACAAGGCCCACGAGACCCGTAAGACCTACAAGATCCGTAAGACTCATAAGACCCGTAGGGCCCACAAGGCCCGGGAGACCCGCAAGGTTCAGAAGACCCGAAGGACTCACAGGACCCACAAGACACGCAGGACCAACAAGACTTGCAAGACCCGCAAGACTCGCAAGACTCACAAAACCCGTAAGAGCCACAAGAAACGTAAGACCCACAAGACCCGTAAGACTCACAAGACCCATAAGACCTACAAGACCCGTAAGACCCACAAGACCCGTGAGACACACAAGATCCGTAAGACACACATGACCCGTAAGACACACAAGACACGTAAGACTCACAAGACCCGTAAGACTCACAAGACCCGTAAGACCCACAAGACCCGTAAGACCCACAAGACCCGTAAGACTCACAAGACCCGTAAGAGCCACAATATCCGTAAGACCCACAAGACCCGTAAGACTCACAAGACCCACAAGACCCGTAAGATTCACAAGACCTGTAAGACCCACTAGACCCGTAAGATCCACAAGACTCGTAAGGCCCACAAGACCCGTAAGACTCACAAGACCCGTAAGACCCGCAAGACCCGTAAAAACCACAAGACCCGTAAGACTCACAAGACCCGTAAGACCCACAAGGCTCGGAAGACTCACGCGGCCCACGAGACTCGTAAGACCCACAAGATCTACGAGACCCGCAAGATCTCCAAAACCCGTAAGATCTGCAAGACTCGCAAGAGCTGCAAGACCCGGAAGATCTAGAAGACCCGGAAGGCTTGCAACACTCACAAAACACGCAAAACGCGCAAGACCCACAAGACCCACAGGACCCGCAAGATCTTCAAGACCCGGAAGACCTGTAAGTCCCATAAGACCTGCAAGAGTCCCAAGAGCTGCAAGACCCGTACGATCCACAAGGCCTGAAGATCTACAAGACCCGGAGGATCTAAAAGACACATAAAACTCATGAGACCCACAAGACACACAAAATCCACAGGACCTGCAAGATCTGGAAGACCCGCAAGACCGACAAGACCCGCAAAACCCGTAAGACCCATAAGACTTACAAGACCTGCAAGATCCGTAGGGCCCACAAGACCTGCAAGATCCGTAGGACCCACAAGACCTACAAGAGGCGTAAGACCCACAAGACACGTACTTTATCAAAATGAAGGGTACATTTGGTGTTTAATATAATCGAGATTCTTGAGTATCGAGTTCTTATGTGAATCTGACGGACGTTAAAATCTGATGGGTGCTATGACTATTGTTGACGTGATCCATTTCTATTTTTGTATGATTGTCAGATGTCTTGTGGACTATATATTTAGGGGCTTATTGCTTTTTTTAGATCCGCTAAACCATTCGTTTTTGATAAAATGGCTGCTTTTTTTTCCTCCAAAAGTCAGTTTGAAATCAAAAAGCCTATGGGCTCCACGTCGCTGATCGAATAACATGCCACTTGCATTGTGACACGCGGCTGCACAGATCGTCAGTATGTAGCTAGTTAGGGTGTTTTGGTTGCTCAAGTGGTTAAGCGTAGGAAATCTAATGAATACCTGTCTTTGAATCGAACTATAGCTAATAATAGTTGTTCTGGAATAACGAACTAATGAATCCACCACTACTCCGCACACTTTATCCTAAGCTACCTGCAAGACAGCGCATTACTTCTTTCTCTTCGGAAAGTACCGCGTCGTCCTTTGAAACTCTAGACAAATTAATGTGTCCGCAATAGCAAGTGTCTTTGTTAGCTGTAGAAGCATAGTAGACCACGAACCAGAAGTAATATGACCAATTTAGTGTTTATCCTATACAGTCATACTCCTTCACTCGACAGAAAGACAGAAGATGACATACTCCATGTTAATCTATTTCATTCTTACCTGGTGAATATGCAAGGTATCCAATAGAGAAAAATTATGAGCAAGTGGCTGCTAAGTAATACAGGGACACCCTGCTTTTATATCTCATATACATTAACGATAGTCGCAATGATAATTATCATTCTCTCTTGTATGATAAAACCACAGCAAGAAGGAGAGGTAATATCACACACATAGTGTTTACTCGTTAAAGTCGTTCTCCTTGTCTTGACAGAAAGAGAAATTATTATAGACTCCATAATGATGTATTTCGTTTCTATCTAATGAGTACTGTCAATACGCAACGACAAAAAGATTAACAAGTAGCTTGTATTCAATACAGCGATGTCCCTCGGTTTTTCACCTTAAATAAATTAACCATACATGTAATATCATGTTTGTCTTTCTCTCCTATAATGAAATCAATGCAAGAAGGATAGGTAATGTGACATAAGTAGTGTTTACGAATTAAAGTCGTTATCACTGCCTTGACAGAAAGATAGAAGATAACAAGCTCCCTAATGATATATTTCATTCCTATCTGATACGTATGATAAGATGCGCGGCGAAAGATATTGATTAGCACCTGTTTATTATTCAATGCAGTGGTGTCCGTCTCTTTTACATCTTGAATAACCCTTTGGGGACGGTTGGCCCCTTAAGGGGCCATGGTGATTCTCTAGCATTTCAAAACACACAGATTTCTATATGAGGTTAGTTTTTGCGAAAGCACTTATCAGAGAGTTTTTTGGTATAATTTGGATTATAATTAGGTTATTTTATTCGGATATCCAGTAATGGATAATAAGTTCTCTTAGAAAATAGAAATGTTGATTGATTTATGATGAAATATACAGAAAAAAAAACCCGTCCCCAAAGGGATAATTTAATCATAGGCCTAATCCAAGGTAACTTTTTCTCTTCTATGATAAAATCAGAGTAAGAGCGAAAATCAATATCACGCAAATAGTTTTTATGCATTAATGTCGTTCTCATTGCCTTGACAGAAAGAGAAATTATTATAGGTTCCTTAATAATATATTTCGTTTCTACCTGATGAGTATAGGTATCATTTTCCTATTAATTTAAAGTAAGTATAAATTATCATAATTTATATTTATTTTTAAACATCACTTATGAAAAAAAAAGATTTATCTTTTAAAAATAAATACATATTATCATTATTCAGATTTAAAATAATTATAAATTATGGTAATTTATCTTAATTTTTAGATATAAACTTTTTTCGTAATTTTTATTTATCTGAAATATAAATTATTCGTACTTCATTTGTAATTTAATAAAGTATAAATATATTGTGACTTTTAAGTGAATTCCACATTTTAGAAAATCAATTTTAAAATGTTGCAGTATTTTCAAAGTTTTTTTATTCATTGATTGAATTTAAAATATTTATAGAAATGTTTGATTTCCTAAATAACAAAAATTCATTTTGATTTTCTAACAATCTCATTTTCGAAAAAAGTGGAAAGTCAAGACTGGTTGTAAAGAATATTCGAAAAATCAATTACGATTTCGACAAAAATCATGGTACTAATCACGACATGTTTCTTAATACCATTTTAGAAAATTAGTTGATATCATTGATCACGAAATGAGACATCCAATACGTAATTTTCTCAAAGAAATAAAATCATATTGTGATCAAGTTCAAAAATATTTTTTTTTCTAAATTTAAAGATGTTCATTCGTATTACTGCATAATTTATGAGAAATAATTCACGGGAATTATTCTTATACGAATAATAATTTAATTTTCATATATGAATAATATTAAAAAAATTAAAAATGTTCAAAATAAACCAGAGTATGAAAGATTAGCTGTTATTTTCTAATATATTTTAGGTATACATATTGTCTATAGAATGGACTAATGCAAATGTTTTCGTATGGTTGGTCGAGAATGTTTTTGATGAATATGCGAACAAATTAAAATGTATTGATGAATTACTCATTCAAATGATGGTTGAGTCTAATTTCAAATTTATTTTAGAAGAAGAAATTGAGTTTGTATTGCTGTTAAATTTAAGTTCATGATCAATTGAAAAACTATTATCGTTTATTAAAGTTGATAACATTGTTACCAAATCGGCTACTTTGTGTTAAAATAGCGTTCGAAAAAAATCAAAGATATTGAAAGAAAGTGTTTGTTATACCACTAAGTAAGTGTTCATTCATTTGTATTAAATAATCGATTGTGATTTCTCTTTCTGTTTTTTTTTGGTTTTAGCATCATTGCGACATTAAATGAAAAATGATTAGATATACTTATACATCAAGAGCACTCCAATGAGTAAAATAATTTATCATTTTGGATGATTTCAATCTTGATGCTGAACATTACGTTGTTGATCATCAGGACCAGCTGAAAGATTTTCTATCGACTTGGTATACAGCAAATCAATCACTTAATCAATCTTGATTAAGTTCAAATACTTTACAATTTACTGATGTAATACTTGATCAAATGATCCAATAACTATCAGATAATTCTTTAACAATCTCAACAAAATCTCAAATAATAAAAAAAATTTACATTAAATTACGTATTGCCTATGTTTAATAAAGCTTTTGAAGAAGATGCTGAAGCTCCATCACCACTAGGCTTTATAACACGATGCAGCCAGCAACAACAATTAGTTGAAACGATTCATAACGATGTAGTCCATAATTCTCGTATTGTTTTTTTATTCAACAGCATTCAAATTCGGTTGAATGATGTTTTTGTGAAAACTATATATTCAGCACTTGATAAAATATTTGTCGAAGATACGGTACGTTTGATAAAAGATGTGATCACAATGACAAACTGGAGAAGCAGTATTACTGCTATCCTCGGTATATAATGTTCACTACACTACTTCATCATTTAGTTCTCTTTTTTTCACATAAAACACAAGTTTATATACGAGAGAGGAAAATGAGCAAAAAAACTACAACATGAGAATCACGTTACAACAGAAAGAGAATGAGGCTCAATCATACATAGATATGCGTAAGAGTAACGCGATTATACAAACTACGTGATATCAATTGTATAACAACATTTAGAGAAAGGAGAGATATTATATAAGATGATATGCCCATTAGCACATTAAAGAGCGCATTATTTTTGATCGAATAATAAATTATTGAAGTATTGTTGAGTTTGAATGACTTGTTCGAAAAACTCAACATACTTTCAATATCCTATGCACATTTATTTATTTTTGTTTGTTTCTATGAACAACTTATAGGTGAAATCAATCTTCTTTCTGATCCATTTGATGAATATATTGTTCAAGCATCAAAATCAAATAGTACAAAATTAGTGAGATGTTTGGATCACCCAACAAAAAAAAAGATAATTGAAGGTAATACATTTAATTAATATTAGTATCTTATTTTCTTTGTTTTCGAAGAACAATTGTATTTTATACCAGGACGCTTGATTATGAAATATTACAAATACAAAAAAACTTATTAAATCATGTGAGTAATCTATTGAACATTTAAATGATTATGTAATTTTCATCATTTAACATTATCATCGTTTATTTTAGGAAACAATCGAGGGCTATTCGATGATATAATATGAATAGTTTAAAATATTAAAAATTATTTTTTTCTTCTTGAATACAACATACTTACTACGAAAAATTCACAAGCTCAAGTTATGACTGTTTAATTGGATCAGAAGATATACTCAATATGGAATATTTAGCAAAGATTCGAGCAGAATTAGAAGTACGGAATGATATTTCTATAAACGAATTTTTTGAAATCTTATTAAAATTAAATTTTTTTGCTATTGTTAGTAATTAGTTTTTGAACTGACTCTTTTTTTATTCGATTGCTTTTTTTTCATTTTTTTTGTGCATTATATGTTCATTAATGAATAAGAATAAATTAAAGAAACTGATCATAAAATGAAAATGAAATTTGATCTTCAAATTTTTCAAAAAATGCTCCAATTACTAAATTAATTACGAATTTCTAGGAACG